CCACTGCCGTGGGATGACCTGCACAAAACACTGACCGCACAGACTGAACAAGTGGCCGCCGGTACACCGCCCGCCTTGCCACGCATTGGGGCCGAGCTTGGGGAGACTGTTCGGGTCCTGCTCAAGACCAACAAAGCCGGCAGCACGACCGAAGCAGAGATCAAAGGCCTCATTCACCAAGCCAATGTTCGCAGGAAAGTGGTTGTAGATTTGATTCGCCACATGACCACCATCGGGCACCCTGCTTATGCCGCGGTTGATATGGAAGCCGTTGGGCACCGCGCGATGGAGTTGCCAGAAGACGGCGTGCCTCCGGCCGTCCTTTCAGTTATCAAGGTCCAATCCGACGATGCTTCGCACGACAAGCTGCAGCCCCAGAAGGCAGCAACGCCCACAGACGGGAGGCATGCTAGTGACAGCGCTGCTGGGGAGGCATTTGCCACCCAACGCCCAAAAGGCATCGCGGCCGAAGGCCTTGCTGACCAAGACCCAAACCAGACCATGGTCGCAGAGCTGCAGCGGATCAAAGATGACCTGATGCCGCCCCAAGAACGCCATCATCAGACACTCGAAGTGAGGACCGGCAACGTCCTCGTTGATCAATTCAACGGCCTGTATATGCCGCTGGCGTTCCCTTTCTTGTTTCCGTATGGCACCGGCCGCCCGGACGTCGTCAATCACACCTCCGACCCTGGCAGCCAACCTGCTCAAGCAAGAAGGCGCAAAGATGACGCCCCAGAAGTTTCAATTGACGTGTGGGCAGCAGCAATGCAGCGACGGGTGGAGACACAATTTCGGCGAGATTGGGTCTTTATCTTCGTGATATGGAACTATTTGTTCCGGACCATGGTGAACTTGATGAAGAACACGTGCGCGTACACCGTTATGGGCAAGGACGGGAAAGGCAAGCAAATGCTCACGCCGGGTGAAATTGCAGAGGCCGCTGCCAGTTTGTTAGCAAAGCTCCGCGGCACATACACCGATCGAGGCGGCAAGAAGAAAGCCGTGGGCGGCGATCTGTCAAAGCTGCGCCACGCCGCCCTGTCAGAAGCGGAGCAGAAGGTATTGGCCAACGTCGAGGCGCGGACCCGACAAATACCAGGCACCCATGAAATCCGCAAGACCATGCGGCACCAGACGCATGCCAACCGGGTCTGTTACGGCACGTCCATTTTCGTGACCTTCTCGCCCTCCGAGCGGGACAGTCAACTGATGGTGCGACTGGCCCGGGCACGGCAATCAGACCCTGCTATGCAGCATGACCCTGCGCCCAAGCTCCAATCCAGATCCCAGCCAGATTTAGACGTGGAATATTTGAATCTCGCGCCGGAAGCATTGGCCCAAACTATGCTGTCGTACGACGATCGGGTGGCTTTGCTAGCTCGAGATCCCGTTGCTTGCGCAGAGGGCTTCAATATCCTGGTGCTGCTGGCCCTGCGCCACTTGTTCGGCGTCCGCTTTTGTCCACATTGCCCGAACTGCGCAACTTCCGACCGGCCCTGCATGGATGCGTTCGGCAGCAATGCTATGGCCACTGGCGGTATTCTCGGGCGCGTTGATGCAGTTTACGGCTCCATTGAGTGCCAGAAGTCGAGCACGCGCCACGGGCACTTTCAGTTCTTCGTGCAAGGATATCACCAGCACACCCCTTTGGGGGACATTCTCGAAAGAGCGCCTGCGCATGCGCAGCAACTTTTGCAGCAGTGCTCTCGCTACGTTGCCCACGTCCAGAGGACTATTTATGAAGATCCAGAAGCTTGGCGCAATCACGCCAGAGCAGCCTTGGAAGAAGAGTGGCCGGAATATCGAAATTCTTCTCTGATGGTGGGCCGACCGCAATACCAAAGCGACGTCGCCATGGCACCTACTGAGTGGAAGCACCAGTATTTGGTTCGCGATGTCGAGCACTTGCAGCAACACAAGCAGCACCACGTGCACTTGCCGCACGGGCCTGAAGGTCGGCGACTGCCTTTGGCGCATTGCCGTGACCCGAAAGACCCGACCAAATGCAAAGCCGGTTTTCCCAAAGACAAGCAGCTGGCGTCCGAGCCTTGGCTCGTTTGCCCCGCTCGTGCTGAAGAGGCCGGCCTGCCTTCGAAGGGCAAGCGCAATGCTGTTGGCTTGGTGCTTGGGCCGCGCAACGATCCAGACGTCAACGGCAACCACCCGGCCCTGCTCGTAGCCTTGCGGTGCAATGGCGACGTTCAAGTTCCTTATCGCCTACCTTGCATTGCTGAAACCCACGACGAGCGATGCCCGGGCCAATGCCACTTGAAAGCCTCGAGTAAGGAGCTCGTGCGGGCTGCGCAGCGCAACCAGGCGGCACAAGCAGGCTACGCGTGCGATTACCAGAACAAGCGGCTGCCCATCGCCATCAATGAAATTAAGGAATGGGGCTTGGGGCAGCGAAGTTTGGGCACGCAGCTGCACGACAAGCCTGCTGGGTACGTCGGGGCCCGGGTGGCCAAGAGATTGATCACGGATTGCTACGGCAGAGGTGTCGTGCGAGGAGCCGCAGAATGCTTCGAACTCATTGCTCACGCCCGCGACTATGATCCAACTAGCGCAGAGAGCATCAAGACCGCGCCTACCACCACCGTCTGGCTGACGTGTGGTCTGAAGCTATTGCAAGCCAGTTTTCAAGGAGCGCCGTGGCCTCCAGAGCCGAGCCGCGCACAGAAAGACACAAGAGAAGGCAACAGGCCCAAGCTCATTGCATGCCCCCCAGTGACGCTGTATGGGGGCCGGGGCCAGCAAGCCGAAGTGTGGGAGCTTTCGTTCTATGAATTCGTTCGGCATTACTGGCTTCGCCTGGCGTACCATCCGACCACGAAAGCATCGCACAACGACAACATCCAAGCTAGCGGCGCGGCTTGCTTTCATGCCGATCTCACAGAGGCAGGGGCACAGCTGCTTGTAACAAGCAAGGGGCGACCGGCCTTGAAACCGGGCGAGCACTATGCCATCCGTGAAACAGGCGGGGAAGATTGGTTGCCGCTCGGAGGCGGCGAGCACGCCCAGCCCCATCGCCACGATTGGATCATCGTTCCCCGGCCCAGACCATACGTGCCAGTGCTTCCCGGCGCGCAATGGGCGAAGTCGTTAGACGAACAAACCATGATCGTATTGTTGTTGTTTGTCCCGTGGACCAATGATCCAACGCAAGCCACCGATACCGTGCCCCACATCAGCAGCTTGCGCCGGCACTACATGAAAGACTGGCGCCATGCCTCGCGCGCGCGACTCAACCTACACGGTTTCCCCACCGATGAGGTCAAGCGCTTGGTTCAAAACTTCTGTTTTGTGTATTGTCTGCCCCGGGACTTGGCACCTGCGGAAGAGCTCATGGAAAACAGCGATAACGAGGTGGAAGATGATGAGCCACTGGCATTATCCTTTGAAGACAAATTGGCCATCCGAAGCACCCACATCAGGGGCGGCCGGAGCGGAGAGGTTGATGACGCCAGCGACGCCGATCCCTTCGAGGCCAACGAAGCAGCAGATGGAGCTACCCAACAGCAGAGAACCAAGCAGATGTTCGAGATCTCAAAGAACATCTGGCTTCGGGCTGAAGGCGAAGGCGCCGTCGACCTTCGCCTGGTTCAACACCACCAAGCCTACGAAGCGAAGGCCGCAATACAAGATACGGCGCAAGTCATACAAGCAGCGCGCACCAGCAGGGACAAAGGCGGCGACGCGCATCCAATGCCCGGATTAGTTCCACAGGTGTCGGCGCGTCCTCCATTGACTGCAGCACAGCTCAAAGAATGGTTGAACAGCGACGCGGTCCACGGGCACACGAATGCTAAACAGTTTGAGTTCTTGGAGCACGTTGTGGAGCGCGTGCTGGTTGAATACGATCTGGTAAAGCCAGAAGATACCCGGCGAAAGAGCATCGAGCCATTAATCTGGCTACTGCACGGCCCTCCAGGCACAGGCAAATCCCACGTCCTGAAGTTTCTACGCCAGCTCTTCAATGAAATCCTGGGGTTTGTGCAAGGGATCGATTATGAATTCACCGCCTTCCAAGCCGTCAACGCCAAAGACATCAAGGGCAAGACGATCCACCACGCCCTCGGCTTGAGCGTGGGCACCCAGGCTCATGAGCCCATCAGCGCAGAGACGGCCAAGCGCATAGCCAATTGGCGCTGGCTCATCACAGACGAAATCAGTTTGGTGCAAGCTAGGTTACTTGCCATGACGGAGCACCGCCTTCGCTCCGTCGTGCCCTCTGCCAACGAGTGGAAGCACAATGCTGTCGGTACCGTGCGACCCTTCGGCGGCATCAACGTCGTGTTCACAGGTGATTTTCATCAGCTTCCACCGCCCAGCGGTGGCTACCTCGGAGACGTGCCTCACAGCTTGCGGGGACGGACAGACGAAGCTGCCGATCCGATGGTGGAGCATGGCCGGGAGCTCTTTTGGCTCCAAGGGGTGCAAGGGGTGACGGAACTCGAAGAGCGGCAGCGTTGCAAAGACCCTTGGTGGAACGAATTTAACGATGAACTTCGGGATGGCCGCCTGTCTGTTCGGAACTGGCGATATGTGCACGGCATGGGGGTGGAAGGATGCACGCTGTCCGCTGAAGAGCGCTCTTCACGATGCCGGGTGGTGACGAGCTGCGCAGACCCTCGCCTCCAGCTACCAAAGTTCAAGGATGCTGTGGTCATAGTGGCAAACAACGACGCCAGGTACCAAATCAATAAGGATCGGGCAGAAGCCTATGGCCGCGAATCCGGGGCAGTCGTGCGCTGGGCGATCGCGTGCGACCGTGCTTCCAGCGCGGCCTTGCAGACCAAGCCTTGCGACAAGAGAACCAAGATGCAATGGCTGCAGCTGCCTGACCGTAGCACGGGGGATTTGTGCGGCGCCCTGCCTCTGGCGATAGGCATGCCTGTGGCCTTGACAGACCATTGGGACCGGTCAGAAGACAAGAGCCTGCTGCGCGGCAGCCGTGGACACGTCCATTCTTGGGTTTGGGCAGAGAATGATGACCAGCCTAGCGTGGTATTTGTGAAGTTCGAGAACGCAGATTGGCAGCTGGAGGGCACGCCAGAGCCAGGCATCTATCCTGTTTGGCCGGTCAAGCGGGCCTGGTATTTGGATGCTTCCCGGGACAAGCCGGTTCTGAAGGTCACGCGCAAGCAAGTGCCATTGACGCCGGCGTTTGCATTGACAGCGCACGGCAGCCAAGGCAAGACCTTGCGCGCCGCCATGGCCGACCTCAACGTCGACAAGCGGACGGACATCACCTTTGGCACCGTGGCCACAAGCAGGGTGCAGAGCCGGGAAGACTTCTTGATCCTGCGGCCCTTTCCCTTGTGGCTCTACCAAAGGGGGGCACCGGAAGGACCAGCGCTCATGCTCCAGATCCTGCGGGGCGAAGAGGTGGATTGGGAGCTCTACCGCGAAGCGCGTGCCCCCATGGCTCCATGCAAGGCCTGCGGGGTCTTGAAGCAACTGGATTGCTTTTCTTTCCACCAATGGGAATGCGCGCGCTCCAACAGGCCAGCCCAATGCATGCTGTGCAGTAACAGTGGCAACGGGCCAGACAAGCGGAAGAGCTTCAGGAGCAAGCTTACCAAGCAGCGGTGTGCCAGCTGCTGCGTATACAAGATCCAAGAAGCGTTTCCAAAGGCCCAGCTTTCGCAGGAACATGCCGAAGACAGACAGCGTTGTCTCACCTGCTGCAAGGCGTCGCAATTCTTGTTTTGTGGGGCATGCCGGGAGACCAAGCAAGTGGACGCCTTTGCCGCAAGTATGGTGACCTGCCTGCAAGGGCACGCCGTCTGCACTTCCTGCCAAGAATCAGCCCATGCCGGCGTAAGGCGCGGCCAGCGGCTGGATTGGTTTACCTGCAAGGGATGCTCCCAATTCCTGCCACGTACAGCGGCCACCCAAGCAGCGCAGGGCAAGCAGGTGCAACACTGCACAAACTGCGCCAGTGGTACACAGTGGAAGGCTGGACAGCAAACTTGCCGAAAGTGCGGCGCCAAATGGGCCCAGGAGATGCCAGATAAGGACAAACGCATCCGGAGGTGCCCAAAGTGCAGGAAATAAGGCCCTGGTTGATGCTGCGCGTGGTACATGACGGGACTCGGGCGCTTCAACGGCGCGTCGGCAGTCGGGCGGCAAGATTGCGAGTGCTTTTTGTACACAGCAGGACGTGCTTGAAGTAGCAGCGTCATATGCAGATTGGAAAAAAAGCAAGGAGCGAAAAGCCACCTGTAGACGCGCGAAGCAGAAGACCAAGTCGTTTCCCAGGACAGTCCTATAGTTACGAAGCGCCCAAAAAAAGCACGAGCGTCGGTGAGTGGCGACGGAGTGAGCTTATGTAGTTTTGGACATGGCCTTTTGAAGGTGAATGAATGGACATGTAGTTATGAAAAGCGAAGTTGAGATTGACGCGCCCTTCAGCCTCAGAAGTGCAATTCTGAAACGTCCTGGTTTAGCAAGAATAGTTTTGGGAAGTAGAGTTTTGGATTTTGAGTTTTGGGAAATGCAGTTTTGGGTTTTGGATTTTGGGAAATTTAGTTTTGGATTTTTTTGAGTTTTGGATTTTGGATTTTGGGAAATGTAGTTGTGGATTTTGAGTTTTGGATCTTGAGTTTTGAGAAAGTGTGGTTTTGGAAAGTGTAGTTTTAGAAAGTGTAGTTTTAGAAAGTGTAGTTTTAGAAAGTGTAGATTTAGAAAGTGTAGTTTTAGACAGTGTAGTTTTGGAAAGTGTAGTTCTAGAAAGTGTAGTTTTAGAAGGTGTAGTTTTAGAAAGTGTAGTTTTAGAAAGTGTAGTTTTAGACAGTGTAGTTTTAGAAAGTGCAGTTTTAGAAAGTGTAGTTTTAGAAGGTGTAGTTTTAGAAAGTGTAGTTTTAGAAGGTGTAGTTTTAGAAAGTGTAGTTTTAGAAAGTAAGGTTTGGGGTCGAGGCCCCCCTGTGCCCCCAGGCAAATAGTGGAAAGTGTAGCTTTGGAAGGTGTAGTTTTAGAAGGTGTAGTTTTAGAAAGTGTAGTTTTAGAAGGTGTAGTTTTAGAAAGTGTAGTTTTAGAAAGTGTAGTTTTAGAAAGTGTAGTTTTAGAAAGTGTAGTCTTAGAAAGTGTAGTTTTAGACAGTGTAGTTTTAGAAAGTGTAGTTTTAGAAAGTGTAGTTTTAGGAAGTGTAGTTTTAGAAAGTAAGGTTTGGGGTCGAGGCCCCCCCTGTGCCCCCAGGCAAATAGTGGAAAGTGTAGCTTTGGAAGGTGTAGTTTTAGAAGGTGTAGTTTTAGAAAGTGTAGTTTTAGAAGGTGTAGTTTTAGAAAGTGTAGTTTTAGAAAGTGTAGTTTTAGAAAGTGTAGTTTTAGAAAGTGTAGTCTTAGAAAGTGTAGTTTTAGACAGTGTAGTTTTAGAAAGTGTAGTTTTAGAAAGTGTAGTTTTAGGAAGTGTAGTTTTAGAAAGTAAGGTTTGGGGTCGAGGCCCCCCCTGTGCCCCCAGGCAAATAGTGGAAAGTGTAGCTTTGGAAGGTGTAGTTTTAGAAGGTGTAGTTTTAGAAAGTGTAGTTTTGGGTCGAGCCCCCCCCCCTGGCCCCCCAGGCAAATAGTGGAAAGTGTAGTTTTGGAAGGTGTAGTTTAGAAAGTATAGTTTTAGAAAGTGTAGTTTTAGAAAGTAAAGTTCTGGGTCGAGCCCCCCCCCCGGCAAACAATCTGACTTTGGGATAAACAAAACTCTGAACACCAGATTGGTCTTGGGAAAGTACTTGAGTGCCAACTGTGTTGGCGAACCCTCAACTCTAAACCCTAAACTTTCCCAATTAAATCTTAAACTCTAAATTCTAAACCTAAACTTTGGCCAACATAAACCCTTAACTTTTCCAAAGAAGGCCCCTGGTCAGGATCTAACCCTAAACCCTGTAAAATGATCATTTTTTAGTGGCAAAAAACGATTTTTGAAGGTGCCTAAATTTTCCGGGTTTTTGGACTGCCTAACTCAACCCTAAACTTTGCCCGATAGACCCTAAACTCTGAACTCTAAACCCTAAACTTTGCCCAATAAAATCTAAATACTAAACTCTTAACCCTAAACTTTGCCCAACAAACCCTAAATGCTAAACTCTTAACCCTAAATTTTGTCCAAAAAACCAGGCTTTTTGCATGGGCTAAACCTTGTCCAATGAACTCTAAACCAGGGGTTTTAGGATTACACACTAAACCCTCAAGTCTAAACCCTAAACTTTCCCAATTAAATCTTAAACTCTAAACCCTAAACTTTGGCCAACATAAACCCTCAACTTTTCCAAAGAAGGCCCCTGGTCAGGATCTAACCCTAAACCCTGTAAAATGAGCATTTTTTAGTGGCAAAAAACGATTTTTGAAGGTGCCCAAATTTTCCGGGTTTTTGGACCGCCCAGCTCAACCCTAAACTTTGCCCGATAAACCCTAAATTTTGCCCAATAAATTCTAAACCCTAAACTCTTAGGGTTTAGGGTTTATAGAAGTTATATAGGGTTTGGGTCCGCAGAAAACGTTTCTCCAAAAACGCCAAAAATGAAGAGTTTTTTTTTAACTTTCAAGCCTTCAAGCTTCCAAAAGGGCCAAGAAGCTTCAAAAGGGCAAAAATTCAAGCCTTCAAGCCCCAAAAGGCCCAAATTCAAGCCTTCAAGCCCTAAAAGGGCCCAAATTCAAGCCTTCAAGCCCCGAAAGGCCAAAAAGTTTCAAAAGGGCCAAAATTCAAGCCTTTAAGCTTCCAAAAGGGCCAAAAAGCTTCAAAAGGGCCAAAATTCAAGCCTTCAAGCCCTAAAAGGGCCCAAATTCAAGCCTTCAAGCCCTAAAAGAGCCAAAATTCAAGCCTTTAAGCCCCAAAAGGGCCCAAATTCAAGCCTTCAAGCCCTAAAAGGGCCCAAATTCAAGCCTTCAAGCCCCGAAAGGCCAAAAAGTTTCAAAAGGGCCAAAATTCAAGCCTTCAAGCTTCCGAAAGGGCCCAAATTCAAGCCTTCAAGCAGGGGGCCCCATGAAGCAAAAAAAATTAGGCCACATTATGTGGAAAAAGGGGGCCCCATGAAGCAAAAAAAAATAAAGCCAAATTATGTGGAAAAAGGGGGGCCCATGAAGCCAAAAAAAATAATGCCAAATTATGTAGAAAAAGGGGGCCCCATGAAGCAAAAAACAATTAGGCCACATTATGTGGAAAAAAGGGGTGCCCATGAAGCAAAAAGCAATTAGGCCACATTATGTGGAAAAAAGGGGGGCCCATGGAGCAAAAAAAAATAGGCCACATTATGTGGAAAAAAGGGGGCCCCATGAAGCCAACAAAAATAAGGCCAAATTATGTGGAAAAAAGGGGGCCCCATGAAGCCAAAAAAAATAAGGTCAAATTACGTGGAAAAAAGGGGCCCCATGAAGCCCAAAAAAAATAAGGCCAAGGTACGCTATCCAGACCCTATTAATGAAGGCGTGGAGGCCTCCCAGAAGGCAGCCTTAAAGGCAAGGTACGCTATCCGGACCCTATTAATGAAGGCCCGGAGGCCTCCCAGAAGGCAGCCTTAAAGGCAAGGTACGCTATCCGGACCCTATTAATGAAGATGAAGGCCTGGAGGCCTCCCACAAGGCAGCTTTAGAGGCAAGGTACGCTATCCAGACCCTATTAATGAAGGCTTGGAGGCCTCCCAGAAGGCAGCCTTAAAGGCAAGGTACGCTATCCGGGCCCTATTAATGAAGGCCTGGAGGCCTCCCACAATACAGCTTTAGAGGCAAGGTACGCTATCCAGACCCTATTAATGAAGGCCTGGAGGCCTCCCAGAAGGCAGCCTTAAAGGCAAGGTACGCTATCCGGACCCTATTAATGAAGGCCTGGAGGCCTCCCAGAAGCAGCTTTAAAGGCAAGGTACGCTATCCGGACCCTATTAATGAAGGCTTTCAGAAGGCAGCTTTAGAGAATTATGAGGAAAAAAGGGGCCCCATGAAGCAAAAAGCAATTAAGCCACATTATGTGGAAAAAAAGGGGGGCCCATAAAGCAAAAAAAATTAGGCCACATTATGTGGAAAAAGGGGGGCCCATGAAGCAACAAGAAAAATAAGGCCAAATTATGTAGAAAAAGGGGGCCCCATGAAGCCAAAAAAAATAAGGCCAAATTATGTGGAAAAAAGGTGGCCCCATGAAGCAAAAAACAATTAGGCCACATTATGTGGAAAAAAGGGGGCCCCATGAATCAAAAAGCAATTAGGCCACATTATGTGGAAAAAAGGGGGCCCCATGAAGCAAAAAAAATTAACATTATGTGGAAAAAAGGGGGGCCCATGAAGCCCAAAAAAAATAAGGCCAAATTATGTGGAAAAAAGGGGGGCCCATGAAGCCAAAAAAAAATAAGGCCAAATTATGTGGAAAAAAAGGGGCCCCATGAAGCCCAAAAAAAATAAGGCCAAGGTACGCTATCCAGACCCTATTAATGAAGCCTGGAGGCCTCCCAGAAGGCAGCCTTAAAGGCAAGGTACGCTATCCGGACCCTATTAATGAAGGCCCGGAGGCCTCCCAGAAGGCAGCCTTAAAGGCAAGGTACGCTACCCGGACCCTATTAATGAAGGCCTGAAGGCCTCCCACAAGGCAGCTTTAGAGTCCAGGTACGCTATCCAGACCCTATTAATGAAGGCCTGGAGGCCTCCCAGAAGGCAGCCTTAAAGGCAAGGTACGCTATCCGGACCCTATTAATGAAGGCCTGGAGGCCTCCCAGAAGGCAGCCTTAAAGGCAAGGTACGCTATCCGGACCCTATTAATGAAGGCCTGGAGGCCTCCCACAAGGCAGCTTTAGAGGCCAGGTACGCTATCCAGACCCTATTAATGAAGGCCTCGAGGCCTCCCAGAAGGCAGCCTTAAAGGCAAGGTACGCTATCCGGACCCTATTAATGAAGGCCTGGAGGCCTCCCACAAGGCAGCTTTAGAGGCAAGGTACGCTATCCGGACCCTATTAATGAAGGCCTGGAGGCCTCCCAGAAGGCAGCTTTAGAGGCAAGGTGCGCTATCCAGACCCTATTAATGAAGCCCTGGAGGCCTCCCAGAAGGCAGCCTTAAAGGCAAGGTACGCTATCCAGACCCTATTAATGAAGGCCTGGAGGCCTCCCAGAAGGCAGCTTTAGAGGCAAGGTGCGCTATCCGGACCCTATTAATGAAGGCCTGGAGGCCTCCCAGAAGGCAGCTTTAAAGGCAAGGTACGCTATCCGGACCCTATTAATGAAGGCTTTCAGAAGGTAGCTTTAGAGAATTATGAGGAAAAAAGGGGGCCCATGAAGCCAAAAAGAAATAGGCACATTTATGTACAGAAAAAAGGGGGGCCCATGAAGCCCAAAAAAAATAAGGCAAAATTATGTGGAAAAAAGGGGGCCCATGGCCCCATGAAGCCAAAAAAATAAGGCCAAATTATGTGGAAAAAAGGGGGCCCCATGAAGCAAAAAAAGCAACATTATGTGGAAAAAAGGGGGCCCCATGAAGCCCAAAAAAAATAAGGCCAAATTATGTGGAAAAAAGGTGGCCCCATGAAGCCAAAAAAAATAAGGCCAAACTATGTGGAAAAAAGGGGGCCCCATGAAGCAAAAAAAATAAGGCCAAATTATGTGGAAAAAAGGGGGCCCCATGAAGCCAAAAAAAAAAGGCCAAATTATGTGGAAAAAAGGGGCCCCATGAAGCCCAAAAAAAATAAGGCCAAGGTACGCTATCCAGACCCTATTAATGAAGCCTGGAAGCCTCCCAGAAGGCAGCCTTAAAGGCAAGGTACGCTATCCGGACCCTATTAATGAAGGCCCGGAGGCCTCCCAGAAGGCAGCCTTAAAGGCAAGGTACGCTATCCGGACCCTATTAATGAAGGCCTGAGGCCTCCCACAGGGCAGCTTTAGAGGCCAGGTACGCTATCCAGACCCTATTAATGAAGGCCTGGAGGCCTCCCAGAAGGCAGCCTTAAAGGCAAGGTACGCTATCCGGACCCTATTAATGAAGGCCTGGAGGCCTCCCACAAGGCAGCTTGAGAAGCAAGGTACGCTATCCGGACCCTATTAATGAAGGTCTCCCAGAAGGCAGCCTTGAAGGCAAGATACGCTATCCGGACCCTATTAATGAAGGCCTGAAGGTCTCCCACAAGACAGCTTGAGAAAGGTACCCTATCCGGACCCTATTAATGAAGGTCTCCCTGAAGGCAGCCTTGAACGCAAGGTATGCTATCCGGACCCTATTAATGAAGGGCTTCCCAGAAGGCAGCCTTAAAGGCAAGGTACGCTATCCGGACCCTATTAATGAAGGCCTGGAAGCCGCCCAGAAGGCAGTCTTAGAGGCTAGGTACGCTATCCAGACCCTATTAATGAAGGCCTGGAGGCCTCCCAGAAGGCAGCCTTAGAGGCTAGGTACGCTATCCAGACCCTATTAATGAAGGCCTGGAGGCCTCCCACAAGGCAGCTTTAGAGGCCAGGTACGCTATCCAGACCCTATTAATGAAGGCCTGGAGGCCTCCCAGAAGGCAGCCTTACAGGCAAGGTACGCTATCCGGACCCTATTAATGAAGGCCTGGAGGCCTCCCGGAAGCAGCTTTAAAGGCAAGGTACGCTATCCGGACTTTATTAATGAAGGCCTCCAAGAAGGCAGCTTTAGAGGCAAGGTACGCTATCCGGACCCTATTAATGAAGCGCTTCCAAGAAGCTAACCTAAAGGCAAGGTACGCTATCCAGACCCTATTAATGAGGGCCTGGAGGCCTCCCACAAGGCAGCTTTAGAAGCCAGCTACGCTATCCAGACCCTACTAATGAAGGCCTGGACACCTCCCAGAAGGCAGCCTTAAAGGCAAGGTACGCTATCCGGACCCTATTAATGAAGGCTTGGAGGCCTCCCACAAAGCAGCTTGAGAGGCAAGGTACGCTATCCGGACCCTATTAATGAAGGCCTCTTAAAGGCAAGGTACGCTATCCGGACCCTATTAATGAAGGCCTGGAGGCCTCCCAGAAGGCAACCTTACAGGCAAGGTACGCTATCCGGACCCTATTAATGAAGGCCTGGCGGCCTCCCAGAAGCAGCTTTAAAGGCAAGGTACGCTATCCGGACTTTATTAATGAAGGCCTCCAAGAAGGCAGCTTTAGAGGCAAGGTACGCTATCCGGACCCTATTAATGAAGGGCTTCCAAGAAGCTAACCTAAAGGCAAGGTACGCTATCCGGACCCTATTAATGAAGGCCTGCAAGCCTCCCAGAAGCAGCTTGGGAGGTAAGGTACGCCGTCCAGACCCTATTAATGAAGGCCTGGAGGCCTCCCAGAAGGCAGTCTTAGAGGCAAGGTACGCTATCCAGACCCTATTAATGAAGGCCTGGAGGCCTCCCAGAAGGCAGCCTTAAAGGCAAGGTACGCTATCCGGACCCTATTAATGAAGGACTTCCAAGAAGCTAACTTAAAGGCAAGGTACGCTATCCAGACCCTATGAATGAAGGCCTGGAGGCCTCCCACAAGGCATCTTTAGAGGCAAGGTACGCTATCCGGACCCTATTAATGAAGCCCTGCAAGCCTCCCAGAAGGCAGCTTGAGAGGCAAGGTACGCTATCCGGACCCTATTAATGAAGGCCTGGAGGCTTGCAGCTTTAGAGGCAAGGTACGCTATCCGGACCCTATTAATGAAGGGCTTCCATGAAGCTAACCTAAAGGCAAGGTACGCTATCCGGACCCTATTAATGAAGGCCTGGAAGCTTCCCAGAAGCAGCTTCAGAGGCAAGGTACGCTATCCGGACCCTATTAATGAAGGGCTGGAAGCCTCCCAGAAGGCAGCTTTTGAGGCAAGGTACACTATCCGGACCCTATTAATGAAGGCCTGGAGGCCTCCCAGAAGGCAGCTTTAGAGGCAAGGTACGCTATCCGGACCCTATTAATGAAGAGCTCCCAGAAGGCAGCCTTAGAGGCAAACCATTTTCGTCCCAATTTGGCACTACAGAACCATTGCTGACAGCACCGTGACGCGTTATGCTCAAACCGTTCCTTATCAGTTCCTTTTATTCGCCGAAGCTTGTTTGCAGAGACTGTTCACGACGGGCCTTGAAAACCATATTTGCACTTGGAACCTGGGATGAAGCATGTCCTATTTGTCGCTCTTGTATGAACACTTTGCTACTAGGGGATTCTTACAGGAGCTTACCCCTGACCAACATTCTTTGCACATACTTTCAATACGTCACGGCCCCATCCTGGAACGTGAGTATAGCATGACTGCACTGTCCGCTCAGGCCACTTGCCGCATTTCGGTTTCAATTGCTTCTTCTTCTGCCGCAGAGGCCCAGAGTTTTACATGAGCGACTTGTTCGTGTACTTCTGCAGGACCGCACGACCATAGGCAGCAGTTGAACTCATAGAAGTTCTAGTGACGGCACTGCTTTTCGTGTATGTCAAGCTATGTTCTTATAAGCACAGCAGAAGCGATTTCGGTTTACGCTTGGACACCTTGGAGTGCAGTTGGTTGTACATGCCTGTCTTTTTCATATTCCTTTGATCTGCAGCCGTTTGAACATACCAAATTCGACGCAGTAGCCAGCCCTGTCAAGTAAAGTTTGTACAGAGGATAAAATATTCACGCGCGCAGGCACACAGATATACAAATATATATATATATACACACACGAATAAGTAACAAACCATATCATAGGCTGCAGCCTGTCAGTTTTGATCTCTATCATCCCGGCGCTCGCGCCATGCCTGCTTGTGGGCGTTGTGGCGAAGGGACCCGGCGCGGCAGAGGGCGAGGGTGGTGCAGCAACGAAGCTTGCAGAGAGGCAGAGAAGAAGGAGAATGAGGAGAAGCAGCAAGCTGCGAAGCACCAGCAGCAAATTGAACGCAGAGGGCAAGGTGCTGGCCGTCGCGGCCCTCGTCCAAGCGAAGATGTCCTTGTGGAGCAGGAGGCCAAGCGCTTGCGAAAAGAGGAGCGCGAAGAGAAGGAAGCTGCCAGGCAAGCGCGGAAGGAGGAGCGCGAAGAGAAGGAAGCTGTCAGGCAAGCACGGAAAGAAGAGCGCAAAGAGAAGGACGCTGGTGAGCGGGGACCCTGCCCTGGAGAAGGGACGGCCGGCACCGGTCGGCCCATGGACACTGAGGAGGTGCGGGCGGAGAGAGAGGAGATACGACTTGGCCTTGCTTTCTTCGGTGAGAACGACTTTGAGGATGTGAAGGCATCCTATGAGGAGTTCCTTGGCAAGTGGGGCCGCTTTGGCTTGTCGAAGGCTTGTGAAGAATACGGCACGCTGACGCCCGGGAAGCATTGCTGCCGCTCCAAGACCACGCAGAAGATAGCTTGCAAGAACTGCCGGGAGAAGAGGACCAAGTACGCACTGCCACCGCTGCCACCCGTTCCAGCACCGCTAGTCGCCCTCAGTTCTTTGGAGAAGCGGCTGCTCGCGATGGCGAAGGTGGATCAGGTGCTGATTGACAAGCTGCCCGCCGGCGGCCCAAGCGCACAATGGGGGAGGATGTATGTGACTCCTATGGACGAGCCTTGTCTGTGCAACGTGTTGGATGGCGCGGAGCTTGGGGAGGACGGCCAGGTCTATGTCAATGGGGTGCAGGGCATGCTGTCTTCAACGGCTCGGCTCCAACCTCTCCAGGTTGCCCTACAAACTTTGCAGGCAGAGCACACGGCATACAAAGACAGCCCTGCGGTGGAGAAGACCCTCGCCGACATGACCCACATCCTGGAATACATGCCTACTGCCCAGCCGCTTCCGGACCACGACGAGCCAGCATTGAACGGAGAAGAGAACCTGGAGGTTACCTACCTGTTGCCCCGCGACCCTGCCATCCCCAAAGCCGATCGAAGAGACTTGCAAGAGCTTCGGCGCAAGGCCGGACACACTGAGGTGAACATCGATACAAAGCTCTTTCCGCATTTGTTTCCTGATGGCCAAGGAGGGTATGACCCGGACGCCTACCCGAAGTTCGTCGAATATGCCCGGAAGCGCTTGCTTGGGCAAGATGGGCGCTTCGAGAATGATGCCGCCTATATCATGTGGCTACTGGAGGAGCAGATGAAGAAACACCTGTCCGGCAACATCAACGTCCGCATGAAAGGCCAGCTTGCACCCAAGCTTGGGGACCGATATGCCGACTTCAACCACCAGATCTTGACGGCTTTGCGGGACTTGCCCGGCACCCAGCCCTACCTCTTCTCCAAGCGGGGCGTGGCCCTCGGCATGTACGAGCAGCTGGGCAAGCCACAATTCTTCCTGACCCTGACCTGCCACGCCAAGCAGCCCAACATCTTGGCGGCCGTCATCACCGCCAAGCTCATCCGCATGCATGGCTGTGCACCGTGTGATGAGGTTGCAGAGGTCCTCCACCAGTACCAGAGAGACGAGAACTACAAGTGGCATGGCATGACGGCCACCCAGCTCTGCAATTCCATGCCTGCAATCGTGGCCCGGCAGTTCACGCATGGTCTGCGCCAACTTCTGCACTGGCTTGGTGCCGAGGATTTCGCGGCCGAAGGAGCCGATGAGCAGGACCGCCCAGGTGAAGAGGGCGGGAACAGCAAGCGCAGAGGGGAGGATGAGGAGTACGAGGCGGCCCCTGCCATGGGCGAAGACGGCCGGTTTCATAAAGTCAAGCAGGACAGGCGGCCCTTCAAGGTCTTGGATTACATCGTCCGGATCGAGTGGCAGAAGCGGGGCTATCCCCACGCCCACATCCTCTTGTGGGCAGATGTGCCTGATGTCAGTGGAAAGAAGCGGCCTGAACGTACAGCCGCAGAGGAGGAGGAAGAGGAAATGGCCGACTGGTCCGACGAGGACGTGTGTGCCAACATCGTGCCCGCCAGCGCCGAGGACCTCAGCGACAAGTACATCAGCACCAAGTCGGCCAACCGCTGGATGAAAGACGAGCGTGTGGAGCCGGAGACCCGCGGAGTCATGGCCAAGCTGGCAACCATGGTGGAGCACTCCTGCGGCCCCTACTGCGGCAAGTTCCCCCTGGGCGCCTGTCGCTTTGGTTTTCCGAGGGCGGCAGAGAAGCAAACTCGCTGGCGTACCCCGCAGGAACAGTTCGCGAGCCGCTGGAAATCGAGCCTGGCAGCCAGGAGGCACGAAGATGATGGCTTCGTGGGCCAGTACAACAAAGCCATCCTCCGACAGTGGCGGGCGAGCATGGACCTGCAAGTTGTTTGCGAGCTCAACTGCGCCAGCAAGTACATCTTGGGCTACTGCTTCAAGTCCGAGGAGGACCTGGCCGCCAAGAAGCCCGTGGATGATATCTTGCAGACCTACCTACAGGATACTGGGCGCATGGACCTGAGCAACAACGAGGTGTACAAGGCCGCGCACGCTGCAACGCAGGGCCGCACGACGTCCACCTTCGAAGGGGTGCGCTACATCCTGGGCTACTCGCCGGTCTTCTTCTCCAGAGACAATGTCTGGCTTCAGGTGGGGCCGCCCAGCACATGGACATTGTCGGTGCCGCAGGTAGATGAAGAACAAGCCCTACGGGACCCGGCCGCCTACAAAGACAAGCAGCAAGAGGCAGGTCAGCACGTCCCATCGGCGCATCGGTGGTATCAGCAGCTGCAGCAGCATTTCCCGGATGTGGAGATCACGGTGCCTGTGGAGGGGCGCGCGCCCGTATCAAGACCCTGGCGCGAGATCACCTTCTTCGACTTTGCTGCGGGCTTCCGCTTTGGTGGACGCGTCTTTAATCCTGACAAGGTCGAAGCCAGGAAGCGGCCTGCGATTGTTGGACATCGCAACTACAGCCCGGACCTGCAGCCAGAAGAGTTCTACTATTCGAAGCTGCTCCTCTACCTGCGTTGGGTTGAGCCGGGGGATTGGCTCACAGAAGCAGACTGTCGCAGCCACGCCGCGGCCTTTCATCGCATCGCCATGGACTGCGACCAGCACCCCACCTTCCTGCAATCTGTGTGCTTTCCGAAATTGGATGGAACGGTTCAAGCAGCAAGGGAACTACAGGCAGTGCAGGCTGTGATGTTCCTCAAGGCAAAGTTGGATGATGCCACCTGGACACGCACCCGCGCAGAAGAGGACAACTACCAGGACTCCATACGAATCATGCAGGCGCTGAAGGAGCGCCATGGCGAGGACATCGACTTCATGGCCCCAGACAACGTGCCGACTGGTCCTGCCACTGATATCTTCGCTCCGGTGGAAGGTGGTGAGGCGGGGGAATTGTTTATACAAATATATAAATGTGTATTTATACAAACATAGATCTATGGTTTACTTTATCGATCCGATTGTACATCCATCCATCTATCAATCTATCTACCTACCTATCTAGTTATCTAAATATAAATAACTATATTATACATACATACATATATATAGATATATATTGAAAGAACGGTTGGGTTTGCCAAGGTTTTTGAAGGAGGGTATCACGGCGAATAGATTGTCATAGATGCATCTTCAAATTTTGACCCTCCCTTGCCATGTCACGCACGACCCCTCCACCCTTCTTCGTCGCTATATGCTGCGTCAGGAAGCCTTCAACATGCTGACCGTCGAGGACCCGAGCCCGGACGTCTTGAAACAGAGGCATTGCATGGAATACATCCTGCGCTCCGTGCTCGAGGGGCCAAATTCCAAGGATAGAGGCAACATTCAAGAACGCCTCAACTTGCTGGTTCACGGACCGGGCGGCTGCGGGAAGTCAGTCGTGATCAGAGCCGCCGCCCACATGTTGCGCCAGAGCGGGCGAGGTGTGTTGCTCACAGCGCCAACTGGGGTTGCAGCGTTCAACATCAACGGCACCACCTTGCATTTCAGCCTGCAGATCCCTGTTCAGAACCAGAGCTATGGAAAGGTTGGAGACGTACCCTTGCCACGGGGTGAGAGACTGGCTATGCTGCAGAGCCATTTGAAGCACGTGGATATTTTGATGGTTGACGAGATGAGCTTCGTCTCATCGGATCTGTTGGAACGCATGGACCAGCACCTGCGCCTGGCTCGGGACATGCCGCACCACCCCTTTGGCGGTTTGCACGTGATCTTCATCGGCGACCTCTACCAGCTACCGCCGCCTGGAGGCCAGGCGCATTTGCACCTTAAAACCCTTTGATGAGGTTGCGCGTGCTTGGTATTGGGGGAGGCTTAAGTGATCACAATCCTTTTTTTCCTATATATGGCACACACACCGACTTATTATTGTATTTGTATGCTACCACCTAGGTAAAAGATATATAGGTTTGGCCCCTTTCAATGCCCAGGCCGGCCGATCTTCGCCAGCAAGCTGTGGGAGCGGTTCGAGCTCTGCGAGCTGGAGGGCAATCAGCGGGCAGGACAGGATCCAGCTTGGGCAGCATTATTGGCACGGGTTCGTTTGGGTCGGTGGACAGATGAGGATCTTCGGGTCCTGGAAAGCTGGGACACTGTGAAGCACCGCAGCCTTCAACCAGCACCTGGCGCAGTGCACCTCTACGCGACCCGGGCAGCCGTGGCAACCCGCAATCATTATTACATCCAAGACCACGTGGAGAGCACCAACGCCGACCTCCATGAATGCCCTGCCGTCGACACCTCCGTTGGCTCCGGCGCCCCCTTGCCCCCAGAGAAGGCATGGCCGGATCCAGAGGACACCGGGGGAATGGAGTTGTTGCGGCGGCTTGCTGAGGCTGCCAAGGTCATGCTGCGAATGAACCTCGATGTCCAAGATGGCTTAGTCAACGGCGCCTGCGGCATAGTTGAGCACATTGACACCTACAACACCAGGGAGGTCGAGAAGGTATGGGTCAAGTTCGAGAAGGGCGCAGGTAGTAGGTGGCAGGCGGCCAATGAGACCCAATGCGTCGCCATCCGTCGGTGCAGTGCTTCCTTCGATGACAAGGACGGGAACAAGGCGGAGCGGAGGCAAATCCCTTTGGTCCTGGCAAAGGCGACCACCATCCACAAGAGCCAGGCGGCCACTTACCGTGCAGGAGTGCATGCGCGCTTGGACAAGCACGTCAAACAAGATGGACAGGCCTACGTGGCATTGAGCCGGTCGCCCACAGAGGCGCTGTGTACATTAGAGCGCTTCGACCCAGCCAGCCTGCACTTCAATGTCAATGCACAGCGGGCCCTGGCCGTGCTGCTGGAACAGCAAGCCCGAAGAGGCGGGCCGAGGAAAGCCAGCCTGCAGCAACTCTGGGAAGAAGCCCTGCGACCAGCAGAGAGCCACGGCTACTACCAACAGTTATTAGATTCCTTGCCCCGCCCAAACTGGAAAGAGTATGATGAGGAGCAGCGCGCCAAAGCCGGGCCAGCAGAGAATGGTGGCACGCTGACATGCCCACGGTGCGGGTGGACCGCCGATGATGACGGCGGCTACAAGAAGCACAAGGCAACGTGCCCAGCCAAGAAGCCAGAGGCGAAGGCCAAAGGCAAGGCCAAAGCAAAGGCCGAGCCCAAACCCAAGGCCAAGCCCAAGGCCAAAGGCGGCAAAGGCGCCGCAACTGAAGAAGAACCAGGCGAAGCTCCAACACCAGCAACCAAAACCCGGAGACAAGGTATGGATCCACCACCGCCGCCAAGCCCCCCACCTCTACCACCACCGGCAGACCCACCACCAGACGACCTGCCGCTGCCGGCCCAGTGCTTCTTCTTTCAACGGCAGCAGGCCGCGCACTGCGGCATGCATGCCCTCAACAACTCCTTGGGCGGAGCCCTGTTCACACCAGCGGCCATGAAGACAGCTGCCCAAAGCTACCTCCAAGAGATGCAGGGTATCGACGGCGCTGCACGTGAGCACATCCGGCCAGGGGGCTGGTATTCCGTGCAAGTCCTCTATATAGCCTTGTTCAACCGCGGCTACACGCTGAATTTCGATCAGCCCGTTCAATCGCTACAAGAAGCGCACTTGGCCCCTGCCCTGGTGCAGAATTGGAACAGCCAGCACTGGGTCGCCTACCGCTGGGGGCAGGATGGCGCCATCTATTTGCTGGACTCCATGAGCGACGGGCCGCAGAGAATGCTTGAAGAGGAGTTCAGCGCGAGCTTGACGATGCATTGGACCTATGCCGTCGAGCCGACCGCCAACCCATAACGTGTAGAAATAGATGATTTTTTCTGTACAGACGCGCCCCAACAGTGGTACAGGAGCGGCGCTGCAGCAGAGACCAAAGCCACTTGGACAGTCAAAAAGGTGGAAAGCCTGCAAGCAAAGCCGTGCGTCAATAAATCAAGCACTGTTCGGTCCTAACGTAAAGAATGATCTGGCTTTGTGCCCTAGCTTTGTGCTGGTATCGCTTTTGCTCGGCCAGGCGCTTTGGGCACCTCCGGGCTTCCCCGGTCGACGATGCAAGGCACGGATAGTTGCTTAGAGGCAAGAGGTCGAAGATTGACTTACTGAGATTATTGCCTTCCCCGGTCGACGATGCAAGGCACGGATAGTTGCTTAGAGGCAAGAGGTCGAAGATTGACTTACTGAGATTATTGCCTCTTTGGTTTCGGTGTCAGTCGAAAGAGGGATGCCCCTTTTTCTAGCTTTCTTCTGGTACCAATCCCGTTCTGCCAGGTACTTCGGCTTCCCGCTGCCAACGCGCGTAAAAAAAATATGGCTCCTTGAAGCTGCTGGGCTCTGGTTGGGTGTTTCTTGGCCCTGGGCTTCCGTTTGGGTACTTCTAGGTTCCCATTTGGGCGCGTCTAGGCTCCATTCAATGCCCTGGTAAGGCTCCAATTTTAGCCGCCATGTAAGCAATTCGAGGTGCCTTTTACCCTTTGTTTTAGGCTTTATTTGGTTACTTCGAAGCTCATTTTGGATACTTCTAGGCTGTAGTTGGGCATCTTTCTGGGTAAGACTCCAAATCTTATTTCTGAACTGATTTTTTTTTTGGTTTCCCCTCTGAACCCTGGAAGGCTTGGAGGCCTGGAAGCTTGGAGGCTTGGAGGCCTGGAAGCTTGAAGGATTGGAGGCTTGGAGGCTTGGAAGCTTGGAGGCTTGGCGGCTTGGGAAGCTTGGAGCCTTGAGAAGAAGCCTTGAGAAGCTTGGAGCCTTGGAGGCGTCCAAAGCTTGGAGGCCTGGAGCGGGGCTCGATTTTGGCCCTTTGGGGGCTTGAAGTTTGACCTTTTTGGAGCTTGAAGGCTTGAAAGTCAAAAAATCCAGTCGATGTTTTTGCGATTTTTGCGAAACGTTTCTGCGGACCCAAACCCTATATAACTTCTATAAACCCTAAACCCTAAACCCTAAAACCCTAAACCCTAAACCCTAAACTTTTAGGCCTTGCGGCACTTGTGCGCCACGAAGTGGCCCTCTACAATGTCTTTGGTTAAAGCATCTTTTTCCGGTAAAGAAAATGTAAGGTTTCGTGGTCCGAGGTTCCCCCTCCCAAGCAAGGCAGGCTTCTGCCAAGGCGCGCAGAGTGTCAGGACCAGGGCGCGCCAGAATGTCAGGACCAGGGCGCGCAGAGTGTCAGGACCAGGGCGCGCCAGGTTGAACCACCAGGGCGCGATGTCAGCACCAGGGCGCGCCAGAATGTCAGGACCAGGGCGCGCAAGAATGTCAGGACCAGGGCGCGTTCCCCCTATAAGAAAGAGTAAGAAAGAGAAGTCTTGGCGAGTTTTAGTGAAGCGAGAGTTTTGACCTGGGCGCCACTTCGTGTCGAACCCTAAACCCTAAAACCCTAAACACCCTAAACCCTACCAAAAGCAATTCTGGCATTCATTCATCATATATAATTTTATATGTGCAATTTTTGGTAAGTTTTTAACCTGATATTAACAAAAAAAATTTTATAATAAGAATTTATTCTTAACATTTTGAAACAAATAAAAATAAGCGAAACCAAATATTTTTTTTTGAAAAAAAAATAATAGAATAAAATATTATATATGCCAAATGCCAAAAAAACAATTCCTAAAAATATAATTCCATTTTCAATAACTTCAATCCTAATAGCATCATCATCGACGATCAATATTATTAAAATGCCAATAAAATAATCACAATTAACAATCAATACCAACGTAAATCACAAAACCAACAATTCCACCAATGCAAATAAGAATAATAACATCAAATAATACCATATCACCAATAAAATTAGCAGCAACAATAACAACAAAAATAATAAGAAGAATAATAATAAAAACACAAATAACATCAACAACAACAATAATATTAAAAATAATAACAACTCCAACAAGCACAACAACAACAATAACAACGACAACGACAACAACAAAACAACCAACAACCAAGCAGCAAAAAACAAGAAACAAAAAACAAGAACCAAACAACAAGAAACAAAACAAAAAATAATCAACAACCAACAAGAAACAAAACAAAAATTAATCAACAACCAACCAACCAACCAACCAACAACCAACAACCAACAACCAACAAACAACAACAACAACAACAACCACCAACCAACACCAACACCAACAACCACCAACCAACACCAACACCAACACCAACACCAACACCAACCAACACCAACACCAACACCAACACCAACACCAACACCAACAACAACAACAACAACAACCACAACCACAATCCAACAACAAGATTACCAACAATACCAACAACAACAAGAATAATAAAAAAACCTATAACAACTTGAATAACAATACCAACAACCCAACAACAACAACATTACCAACCATACCAACAACAACAAGAATAATAAAAATAATCACTATAACAACTTGAATAACAATAACAACAACGCAAGCACAAGAACAGCTAACCGAAGACAGAAGGACAGACAAACAAACAAACAAACAGACAAGCAGGCAAGAAACAAACAAGCAAGCAACCAGCATGGATGAGAATATAAATGCCGGGATGCAGAGAGTGGGGGCGGACTATCTGCAAAGACAGAACAAGCCCACTCGACCTGGGACTTATGCACCTTCACCGCTTCAACGAGCCCAGACGGCCACGCAGGGCGCTCTCGACCCCAGGCCGCGAAGTCACTCTCCCAAAGGCGCAAAGGCGTGAGAGTGACTTCTACGAAGGCGCTGTGGGGAAGAGGTCTGAACAAATCTCCACGGATCATCCGGCTTCTCACCCAGCGACCAACTGCGAGTTCCGTCTCGATTGGTCCCCCCTGAGTCCCAGTGCGCGCGAAGCTCACAGGGCCAATGCCTTTGGTGCTGAGACTCTAGCAGGATCAAAAGTAAATGCAAGATAGCCGACCACCCACTTGCAATCTCCGGCATATTCTTGTCCGTATATTAGCAAGCAAAAACAACCAAAACAATTGACAATAGGACCGACAAAATAGTCAATATTAAAAAAAATCAAAAAATATATTTAAATCCATATATATTTTTTTTTGGGAAATATACCTATTTTCCTTAAATTAATCAATTCATAATTGAAATCAAAAAAAGAATTGTTATAAATTAAAATAAATAAATATTCAATATCATAAATATATTTATCAAAATTCAAATTTTAACATCCATATTTTCCTATCCTAATTCTTTTTACATTTTTGATTTCGACATTTTGATCTAAATAACATCGAATTATATATAATTATAAAAAATAACGATAATCAATTCAATAAATTGAAAGATATTCTTCGCAATCAAATTTCAAATTCCCCAATTTCCAATATAAAAAAAATAAAAATAAAATTTAAAATATATTCCTAATTTCCAATCCAATATAGTCTTTCAAAATATGAAAATTTAATGCAATATTTCATATAATAATTATCAAAATATCTTAAAATAATATTCTATAAATTTAAATAGCAAGAAAATAATAATACCGACAATTTATTAAACACTAAAATTCAATATATATATACAAATAAAATCATATTATTTTGAAATAAATATACCTATATATTTTCCCACAAAAATAACCAATCAAAAAATAAAAATATAAACATCATTTTGATTCATATCTAAATTAAAAAATCAAATTTTCCTATCCTATATCTTTTTAAATATTTTCTCGATATTTTGATCTAAATAGAATCGATTTTTCGATATTTCTAATTAAAATACAATAATTTTAGCGGTTATTAATTCAATAATTTGAAAGATATTCTTCCTAATCAAATTTCAATTTTATCAATTTCCAATGTAAAACAAATCAAAATAATATTGAAGAATTTACAAAAAAAACAAAAATAATATAATCGGTAAATACATCAAAATATATTTCAATATCTAAGCTCAAAATTATTCTAATAATATTTAATCTTTTTTTTTCAAAAAAATACTAAAAAATAATGATATTGACATTTTGATAAATATTAAAAAATATATATTCTGATTAATATTTATATATTGTATGATTTTTTCCCAAAATAATTAATGCATTTCTAAAAAAGAAATATAAAATTATTCAAGATTGATAGAAATAAATTTTGAATAGCATAAATTTATTTCTTAATATTTAGATTTAAAAGAAATCCTATCCTATTTTTTAGTTAAAAACATAGATATTTTGATCTAAATAAAATCGAATATAATGAATATTTTTTCTTAAAATATAATAATTTTGGAAATAATTAATTCAATAAATTGAAAAATATTTTTCGTAATCAAATTTCAATTTCCCCAATTTCCAAGATTAAAAAAATCAGAATAACATCTTCAAAAATATCCAAATCTATTTCAATATTTCATATATTAATTATTAAAAATATTTCATCTATTACATATTCAAAAAAAATAAAACCGACAAATTAATAAATACTAAACACCAATATATATATATTTAAATGAATATATTTTTTGAAATATATATTTTTTTCCACAAATTAATCAATTAATCAATTCATTTCAATTTTTTCAAATTATTATGAATATAAATAAGTATTCATTATCATATATATTTTTTTATTAAGATTGAAATTTAAAGATCAAATTTTCCTATTTATCTTTATATATATATATTTTCGCTATTTTGATCTAAATAAAATCGAAATTTATATATTTTTTTCATAAAAAAAAATAATATTAACAATTAATAATTAAATAAATTAAAAAAATATTCTTCGTAATCAGATTTCAATTTCCCCAATTTCCAAAATAGAAATAAGAATAAAATTTAAAAATATATCCCAAATTTCCAAT